ACATTTTATCTTGGATCATGTCAATCTTAATTTCTTTTCCCAGTGGAAAGATAATTTTCCAAAAGAGAATTTCCAACTTTTAAAAAGCAGATATGGTAGCTTTTTCAATATTCCTCTGCTGGAAAGCAAGCTGCTTTTTGTCTTCAGGGACAACGATTTCCAAAAAAAGTTCTTCCATGGAGTTATTAGAGTATATGTATGATTTTGAATTGCATACTTGCTTTCCTGAAGTAATCTAACTTCTCAAACTGAATGCAGTGATTGCAGTATCCAGTGCCTCAGCTGAAAGATCATTCTCATATCTAAGGAGGGTTAAAAACCTACCTGAGGAAAAGAAGGGGACAGGAAAGACTGGCATCTTTGAGCAGAATATCTATACAAAAGGATGTTTTGAAAAAGTTTGAAAATTGGAGAAATTTATTGAAAAACCTAGAAGGCTAAACTTTTTATTCAAATGAAGCATTATTGACAATGACAAAAAAATTTGAAATGTGTCTCTGGATACATTATAACTTGCTGATAAGAAAACTGTTGCTGATTAAAAAGCTACCAAAGGAAATTTTTGAGAACTTCTTATTATAACTTTTTGCTGATTAAAGAACTGGGTGCATGCTCAAAACTACGAAGAGTGAATATCATTGCAACTATTGTGCAGTTTTTTTCAAAGCTTGAATTCAACGAGGATGGAGAAGCATATCTGTTACAAACACGAAACAGAATTACCTGGCAATAAATCTCTCATAAATGCTCCTATTGATCCATCTTATTATAGTAGACTCTAAGCTTCTCTCTACCCAATGAAGGTAGTGATCCTGTCTGTTTTGTGATTAAAAGGCAAAAGATATCAACACCATTGTCAGGAAAACATGGCATTTCTAGGTTTTCTCCAGTTAATTCCTCTCAGTTTCATAAGTTAGCATCCAAAACTGATGAGGCAATCAAAGAAGAGTTAAACAGCTAAAAATGTATTGTTGAAGGCTGTTTTAGTAACATAAAACTTAAGACTTTGGCAAGGCAGAAATCTAGAGGGTCAAGGTCAGGCATAATAGACATTCAAAGCACCCTAGTTCTTATAAAGTATTGAAAATGTAGGTGATCCATTTGATAGGTCCATATGTCATGGTCATTGGAAGAAGTGGTATAATTATAACTACTATTTGAGAGGCACAATTTTGATGAGGCCCTTGGATGCACTGGTATACAGAATTAGACCATGAACAGTCATGTCAAGAAGAGATCTCCATTTTTTCAATTTGCAATGACAGTAAAGAAAGCTTGGTTGTCAAAATTTTTGATTTCCTTGGTTATTATGATCTACAAAGGCTTGTCCTGACTCGCAAAGGATTTAAAACTGGTGTTTTGAATTATTAAGTCTGATAATGTTTGAGAGATTATTAAAGCACCATTACTAGGTTGATAGGAAATTGAATGGGAAATCCTTTAAAGTGTTTTTCGAAGCAACCAACCTGTACTGTTTTAATGTAAAGGGAACTTACAATTGTGATCTTGATCCTCAAAGAAATATAATGCAGTTAAGCCATGAGTTTTCTTCCAATGACAGTAAAAGCAGTGATCTCTGAAAGCTTCTTAAACTATTTGGTGAAAATAGAAAAGCAAGTGCTCTAGAAGTTCTTATTTATTTTGCTGCAATTGGATTACTCACATTCCATAAAGACAGCCCGGAAAAGCCAACAGACCACGATAGCAGGGAGTTCCTCAAGACAATCCTCTCTACATCAAGTCTACTGGACAGGTTGTGGAATACAGCACTTGAAGTAGGGGCTGCGCTCTTTACCACGGCAATACAGTATAAAGTTGCCCAGACCCTGATTAGCAACCCACCTGATTACGCTAATAAAATGACGTTTTATCCAAACCCTGAGCCCACTTTCAAATCTTCAAAAAGCCTTCTGGATCTTTTGCTGGATGTAAACTAAACTGCTTTTGTTATGACTTGGTTGCTAAGGCCATCAAAAGTTGTTTGACCCCTTGGCATCCAAAAATGCAATGCGTTTGAATATGGCACCCGTTTCAGGAAACAGGTCTATTTGTGTTATTTTCTAAAAGTATCAGGCACTTCTTGACATTCTAGAGGACCTTGTGGAAAATACAAGTGGCTCTAGAATGGCCTTTTCCAATACCTCAATTGCTTCCTGTTTCGCTTTTTGACAGGCATCTTTAACAAAATTTTGGAACAGTCCACCATTTTTACAAAGTTCTCCAAAATAGGAAAACAGATTTCTCTCATGGTGTTTCAAAGATAAAAGATTTTGGAACTTTTCTTTCTGATTTGCGCTCAGATCAAGGATTTGAAAATATCTTAAGTTTTGCTGTAGAAATTGTTGGACAACTAACACCAAGATCTGACAAAAAAGTGAATTACAAGCAGCTCTACTTTCAGATTATTGATAATCTTGTCCAGATGCTAGAGGATAGATTTGAAAATTGTGAAAATATTTTATCTCGGATCATGTCAATCTTAATTTCTTTTCCCAGTGGAAAGATAATTTTCCAAAAGAGAATTTCCAACTTTTAAAAAGCAGATATGGTAGCTTTTAAATATTCCTCTGCTGGATAGCAAGCTGCTTTTTGTCTTCAGGGACAACGATTTCCAAAAAAAGTTCTTACATGGAGTTATTAGAGTATACGTATGATTTTGAATTGCATACTTGCTTTCCTGAAGTAATCTAACTCCTCAAACTGAATGCAGTGATTGCAGTATCCAGTGCCTCAGCTGAAAGATCATTCTCATATCTAAGGAGGGTTAAAAACCTACCCGAGGAAAAGAAGGGGACAGGAAAGACTGGCATCTTTGAGCAGAATATCTATACAAAAGGATGTTTTGAAAAAGTTTGAAAATTAGAGAAATTTATTCAAAAACCTAGAAGGCATGCAAAACTTGTACAGCTGCACAATTATCTTTCTTGTGATGGATTAGTGAGGGTCCTTGCCCAATCAGCTGCAGAAAATAATGAAAAGTTTCAGCAGTTCCCTCACTTTAGTGACAAGAAACCTTCAGAAAGAAAGACAGTTTTGTTTTTTTAGACGAGGGTACAACAGTTAGAAGAGTACATCTACCAGGGACAGTTAATAACAGCAAACAAAGAGTTTAAGAAGGAAATTGACAGAATAACAACAGCAGGATTGCAGAGATTCGCCCAATATAGCCGAGCTCTTGAGAAAGAAATCAATACCATTGAGCCTGAAGAAAAGAATATTAGATGGTGTCCTACTACCAGCAATGACATATGTAGCAGAAGACACTGACAAAAAAGGCAGAAGGACAAACTTGCAGTTGCCCAACGAAGCATGGAAAGGGCAAGGTTAAACATCACACAGTGAAATAGGTGGAGAAACGAAGAGGTGAGGTCACAGACGAAAGTCACAGACATCCTGGAAAAGGTAGAAAAGCTTAAATGGCAATGGGCAGGATATGTCGCACGGATGGATCCGGCAAAAATGGGCAAAGAAGGGCACAGAAGAAACAAGAAGGCCAAAGCGAAGATGGCGTGATGAGCTGCACAACATCGCAGGTATCACCTGGATGAGGAAAGCACAAGACAGAAAGTCGTGGAAGAGTTTGTGGAGGCCATCAGCCTGCAGTGGGCTTAACGGTTGATGATGATGATGATGACAACTGTTATTATGAGGACGGAAAAACTATGCTCTTCAGAGGCTGGTGATGTAAAGCTTCTTGATTAAACATCTTATGACTATGGGTTAAATGAACTGTCCTATATCCCTAGTGTGGCTAGCACTTCTTCACTTTTTGCATCATAGCTTTTCAAGAAGCTTTTTCAAAAGGTTGTTCCCACATTTAATGTCATGTCCCCTCAACCATACTTTGTTCCTTGGAGGTTTGTTGAGTTCAGAAAGCCTGGCAGCATACAATTGTAAAATGTTGTAGCAGATCCACAGAAAGTGCTACATAATATAATTGACAAACTAAAGGATGATAGAGAGAGAATATTCCATGCCACAAAAGTTTTAGAATCTCTTGTTTGAAATGCAAGCAGCTACTTAATTACTGGAACTGATAAGATTATAGTTAATATCATATTAGCTGAATTTTTTAGAAAGCACGGTTTTTTGCATAGATTCATAAATTTACTTTTAAATTCATGGATGCTGATACAAATGAGATTCTCGCATTCAATTTCTTCATCAGCCTTCGTCATTTCGTAGTTGTATGAGAGAGCGCAACGCATGCGCCAACCAGTTGCAACAGTTCTTGTGCTAGCTAGACACATGTTTCGATTGTCGACTCGTCAACGACAAAAAATTCCAAAGTTATCAAGCAGAAGTTCTCTGTCGACTTCATTGTCCAGTAAAGTTCCATTTGAATCTTGCTTGCTCGACTTATCTGCGCAAAGATTTTTTTGCTTTATTTTGCTATTTATTTTGCTATGAAGACAGACATTCTATCTCAGGCAAAATGGCGTCCTCTTACAATTGGGACGTCACCATATAGGATTCTTGCAAACCCAAAGGCAAATAATCTTCTGATGGTTACAATTGTAGCTTGTTGGAAAATTTTGATTTGCAATCCTTATTGATCAATATTCAAGCAAATGTGGCTCAAAACAGTCAAGTTTTGGCTTTCCTAGTTTCTGAGAGGAATGGAAGCCCCTTTTCTGAGATCGAGGGACCTTGAAAGCAAATAATGTAGCATCCATGAATGCCAACAATGTAGCATCCACGAATGCTAATACTAATTCTCTTAGGAAATACCATTCGTAAAAAAATTTCATAACCTGAAAAAAAAAGTTGGAAAAGATTTCAAAATAAAAAATACAAAAGAAATTTTCTTCTTAAATGAAGAGAAAACGAAAGTCAAGGAGCTTAGGTATTTATCTTATCACAATTGTAAATCCTACTGTTGCACAGTAAAAATTTGTTCATTTTTCAATTTATACGCTGCCAATATATCATTCTTTAAATTATTGAAATTATTTGAAGACGGTATATTTAATTTCTGATTGTTAAGAAATCTTTATCAGTGTTTAAATTTACATATTTTAATATAATGTACAGGCCAATATATGCTTGCATTTTCATCAAAATTCTAAAAAAATATTTTTATTTCTCTAATTCTCTTTCAGACCAGGGATGACTATAATTTTGAAAATCCAAAAGAAGAAAAGAAATAAGCAGCATAGGAGGGAATTTCCCTTCTACAGAAAGGAATTTCCCTCCTTTTGTAATAATTTTTATTCAGGAACTTTCCCGATTATATCTGTGAATAATAATAAATAGTTTTGTTCTTTTTAAATATGTTCCGTTGTTAAATATGTAATAGTTTTGTTGTTTTTAAATATGTTCCGCTGTTTGTTTGTTTCTTTTCATATTTTAAAATATGAAATTTCAAAATGAAAGAAAAAAACAAATTTTCTATTTAGACATTTATATTGATAGAATGGAAAAAACTTTAAATTGTTGTTTTCTTTCAAATTATATGACCAACATTCCTTCATATTCTGCATGTTAGTTTTATTCAATCTTCATAGTTGCATATCACTATAAATTTAGGGTTTATTTTTGGCTGTTTGAGATGTTGATAGAATGGAAAAAACAAAAACATTACCTGCCTGTTTATGCAAGCCCTTGTGCCATCAGAGGTAAAAGGCCCACCAATTTCAGAATATCTTGCAGGCATTTTGAACACAAAATTTTCTGCAGACTTTGACCTTGAAAAAAGGAAAGAAGTTCTTAGTAAGTACAAGGTCCCAAAAATCAACACACCATTGTTTGTATCCAAGGTCAACCCAGAAATTTGGGGAAAATAGAGCCCTTACGTAAGAAGAAACAAGATAAAGTACAATCCAAGATACCACCCTTCTTAGATTAACAGGTGCCTATTCTTCTTCAATGGAAGATTCGGTGAAGGCATGCGAGGAAAATAAAACCCCTGTCTATAAATCAATAATATCCAAGTTTTTCGATACAATTGCAATTTTGGGTCATGTTAACAAAGAGCTCTCGTGCAAACAAAGAGAGGCTTTGCAGTCAAATTTAAGTGAGGAGTTTAAGGAGGCTTGCTCATGCAGTCTGAAACCAGGCAAATTTGTCTTTGGCAATAACCTACCGGAAACATTGAAAACCCTTCAAGCAACATATCTAATTGTTAGTGCAGCAACTAAAACCAACCACCCACAGCAAAATTTTAGAATGAACAAAAATTTCAGTTGAGGCCTTTTTTAGGGCAGAGAGGCCTTACAGTCAACAAAAAAACTCCAAAACCCAACAAAAGTTTACAAGGAAGAGATTCACAAAGAATTAGAAAATGTCAAAAAACAGGTAATTGCTTTTCAACTTGTCAAAGACAATGTAATAACTTATCTTAGTTCCAAGGTGAAAGATTTTCATGCAGGTCAACTTTCTGAGCATTTGTCTAATTGGAAATCTATCACTTCAGATCAAAGCATTTTAGAATCAATATCCGGGGGAAAAATTGAATTTGTCATTGCTATTCCATTACAAACTTATCCATCTAATTCTGTCTCAAAAGAACATAAGGATGAGGTTGAACTTGAAATCAAATAGTTACTACAGAAAGGGGTAATTGTCAAGAGTGAGCATGATTTTGGTGACGGTATTTCCCCAGGGCTGTCAAGTTTTGAAAAATGAGACTAGGTACAAACACGCGTACGCTTACAAATGATAAAGAAGAAGCCTAAATGTTGCAAAACATGTATTATTGACTTCTGTAGCATGGGCTGTTTGTCTACCATCTAAGTGCAAAATTAATACGTTATCCAAGAATAAAACCACAACAAAACAAATTTGAACTGTTTCATAATAAATCTTGAGTATATATTGAATTTATCTTTGACAAAAAATGAAAGTTTCTCAGTTTATTAATGTTTTTTTAAATGTTCTTTGTTGCACTCCCAGCTGACCTCTTTACTTCGCTTAAGAACTTGATCTGAGGGATTGTATTTATAGCATGGTTCTCCTGTTAAGCTGAAAGGCAATGATGCTAGACAAGGTGCCATCTAGAGACAAGCTTGCTCTCTGAGGAGTCACATTTTTTCTCACTCTGGAAAGTAATGACTCATTTTCTGCATTGTTTGCAGTTAAGTCAGGACAACTTTTGCCAACTTGAATAATTGACCAAACTTAGGCTTTTGTGTCCCAGGAACTTTTAATTCATTTAGATGGTACCAGAGAACATCAATTCTGTATCTAACAGCTTCCCCTTGTTTGGCCAGCTCTTATTGCTGCTTGTTCTCTAACATGGCATTGTCTCTGTTTTAAAACTGGTTACTCCAGGGTGTTGGATGGCTTCTGTGGACTTATGTGCATATTACAGTGTTAAACTTCACCCAAGTCATCAAAAATCCTTCAACTTTAGATACAATGATGAGTTGTGTAAGTATACAGTATATCCAAATGGCTTAGCAAGCTGTCCATGCAAATTTACGAAAATAATTAAGCCAGTTATTTCAAAATTGCATGTTGTATAATTATAACTTCTTTTTGAAGGAATCTCTAGGATACAGTTTTGATAAGATCCTTGGATGCATTGGTATACAAGAATTAGACCATGAACATAAGGTCATGTCAAGAAGAGGTCTCCATTTATTAAATATGTAATGGCAGTAAAGAAAGCTTGGTTGTCAAAATTTTTTATTTCCTTGGTTATTATGATCGACAAAGGCTTTCCCTAACTTGCAAAGGATTTGAAACTAATGTTTTGAATCATTTTAAGTCTGAAAATGTTTGGGAAGGATTATTAAAGCACCATTACTTGGTTGATAGGAAATTGAATGGGAAATCCTTTAAAGAGCCTTTCAGAGCAATGAACATGTACTGTTCTAATGTAAAGGGAGCTTACAATTGTGATCTTGATCCTCAAAGAATTACAATGCAATTAAGCCATGAACTTTCTTCCAATGACATTAAAAACAGTGATCTCTGCCAGCTTCTAAAACTATTTGGTGAGAATAGAAAGCCAAGTGCTCTAGAAGTTCTTATTTATTTTGCTGCAAAAAATATTAATACCATCTTCACTGAGTGCCTTAACTCAAGAAAACCTTCCAGGGCCAGACATTTTCTGTGTCTGACCTTAGGGTGGGAACTGAAGTGCTTAGCACACCGTTTATTCTTCTACTTATTAACCTTGTTATTGCTAATAATGGTAACCTTCAATTAGATAGATGGAAAGATAAGCAAAGTCTTTTCAAATTGCTTGCCATCATGGGTATCAGAGAAAAACTTTTTGAGCCAAGAGCAATAAATAAAACCTAAAAGGTTATTTCAAATTAAGTTTCACTCACATGTAGCGAGAACCTTATGACTGTTTTAGATAGAACCAGTCTTTCATTTTCCTATGCTTCAGACATTAAAAATCAGCAAGTTAGCTATGATACTGTGGAACAAAGTTGGAATACGGGCAGCTTTACAAAGCACTGAGTCAAATATGCATTGGATCGAGTGTGACAATTTGGAAACCATGTTGAAGTCCACCTCCATATACAATGCCAACATTGACCCATTTTCTAACATCACAGCTTAAATATATAAATGGTGCTTATACAGTAGTGGGTCCATACAAAAGAAAGGCAAGTCATTTTATTGAAAAATCTTGTTTCCACTTAACTGATGATGACAAGGCCAAGGAAGCATTTTTTCTCAACAAATGCATGCAAAAAGTTGTACAGCTGCACAGTTATATTTCTTATGATGAATTGGTGAGGGTCTATGCCCAATAAGCTGCAGAAAATAATGAAAAATCAAGCAGCTCCCTCACTTTGGTGACAAGAAACCTTCAGAAAGATTTTTAGACAGTGTTGATGTTTTAGATGAGGGAACAACTGTTTTTCTAAGGATGGAAAAACTATGCTCCTCAGATGCTTGTGGTGTTAAAATACTTCTTGATTTAACATCTAATGAATATGGGCTAAATGAACTGTCCTATATCCCTAGTGTGGCTGGTAATCCTTTCTGCATAAAAGCTTTTCAACAAGCTTTTTCAAAAGGTTGATCCCACATTAAATGTCATGCTCCCTCAACCATACTTTGTTCTCTGGGGATTTGTTGAGTTCACAAATCCTGGCAGCATAAAATTGCAAAGTGTTGTAGCAGATCCACAGAAAGTGCTACATAACATAATTGAAAATTCAAGAATGATAGAGAGGGGATATTCCATGGCATGAAAGTCTTAGAATCTCTTGCTCGAAGTGCAAGCAGCGATCATATTACTGTCATATTTAGAATACTACCACCAATACTCGTATCGAAATATCCAAGGCTAACATGCATCATCAACTCCTTTGAAATCAAAATCGAAAACCACAAGCAACATAAAGTCAGAACACAATGCTATTCAAGCTATAAGAAGACCACAACAGTGAAATTTCTCATTGCATGTCATCTAATAGGAAGTGTCGAGAATCTGGATAGTATCTAGTACTGCTAAATTTTTCATATGATGTAGCAATCAAAAGAAGGTCATCAATATTAGCACATATTAAATGACACTTCATCTCAATGTGGATTCTTTCTCTTTCTCTCTCGATGTGGATAGAAGTGGCTTTAAGAGTTCAGTGAATTTTCTTGGACAAAAACAAAGTCCATTGGAGTAGACCTGGTACTTCAAGAGTTTATCATGATAAATGAATTTTAGGTACTTTTGAGACATAATTTATCTTTACACTATAGTATGCATCTTTCAAGTCAATTGATGCCATCCAGCAGTCTTTTGTCATTGATGATTAATTAGTCCAATACACACTTAATAGTGTCCATTTGACATTAATGTATTCAATGTGTTTATTTAACTGCTTTAAATTAAATGAGTGTCACTTTATTGGGACTGAAAATATGGGAGAAACCATTTTCCTGAGTGCATTCTTTAATCACACCCTTTTTCTGGATGTTTTCTATTTCTAGGTGAATAAGAGCAGTATGTTCCTTTGCAATTGAATTTGTTGGTACTGTTTGTAACTTTTGTGTTTGTGTAATAAATTCGATTTTTTCACCTATAACTGTTTGCAGTATTGTTTGATCTGTTGTTAAGGTCTTCCATCGTGCTAAATGGTGTGTAATTTGTCCACCAACAAATGAGGCAACTTTGTACTGCAAATATGATTTTATGTGTTTTTCGAATAAACACACAAAATTATGTACCTGGGACCTTTTTGTCAGAACTCCTTGTTTTAATGCTTGTATGTTCCCATTTGCTGTTTCTTGTTGAAGCCTGTATTCTGCTTCTGAAAAAAGGACTGGGTCTGAGATCGGTTTTGAAACTGTTGGGAAGATACCCTTCTCTTGCTAGATAAAAAAGGGTTGTTTCTCTGATTTTGTTTGTATGATGAATATCTAGGTTTAAACTGAGAATCACGAGCCATAATTTTACCATCAAATTTGGAATGGGCCATGATTTTTGTTAAATCATAGGCAAACAAGAGTTGTTGTGGCTTATTAGAACGGGCATAAGCAGGCTTCAAATCATTGCTTAGCAGTGGTTTTAAGGAGTCTCTGCGTTCATAAGACAGCTCAGTATTAACATGACCCAATAGGGCTATAGAATCAAAAAGGCATGTGGCGATTACTTTGCCGTCAGGAGATCTCTGGCTATCTCTGCATTTTAAAAGCTCATCAACTGTAATTGAAAGGGCATTTGTCACTCTGACAATGTTATCTTGCAGAATGGACATACACAAGTCGTGTTGCCTGTGAAAACCCTTGATTTTTTACCACATTTGCTGATTTGTTTTGGCAACAAAGACTGCTCATTTATTTATATTTTTCAGAAATCTCCTTTCGCTTTACAAGTCTCAGTTCTGAGGCAAATTTTTCATTAACAATTTTTTAGATTTTGTCAGAAATTGCTGGCCCTTGAATATCGATAGATGAAAGTAAGAGCTCAACTGATTCTAAAAATTGATCAGTATCATCACCAGGGTATTTTCCACCTTCAAAGTCTTCTCCCCCAAAGAAACTCATTTCATCTTGTTCACCAGTCCTATTACTGGGTTTAGGGGTAGCAATTTCCCTCTTGGAGATTGTAAATCTGAAGCTGGTTATTGTGCTCACTGCCAATATATTATTTTTACCTACAGGCCCTGTCTTGAGCAGTTTGGGGCTCATGAGAGAAAATTCCTTGTTCACGAGAGCAAATTGATGGAACTTTTTGCATTGTGCACCTTCTGCTTGTCACCTGGATGAAAAGCAACAATCACATCTATCATTGGAGCCATGGTCATTATAAGTCAGATGTGTGACAAATGTGGTGAAACCAGAATATGGTGTAATTCACCCTACATTGAAGCTGTACCTTCTTGTAATTTGTTACTGTCTGGTGCTATACTCTTTTCTGGTGGGCTTCCTGGAAAAATTCTGAAATTTCTCAGATTTTTTGGTGCAGTGACATACAGGTAACCAATACAATTATATATAAGTACATAATGATATAGATTTATGTTTTAAAGGCCACCCTCTGAATTGTCACATTTTACTACACCATATATGTTCTTGTGTAAAAATTCGGTTTGCAAGAAACCTAATTGCAAGTCATTGCATTCTACACATTTACATTCCCACGGTCTTGCTTGGTAGTAGATAATAATCTGGGCTTCCATGAATCAGGATTTCAAATATTTCTATATATTCTTAGTCATAGAACCTACTTCAGGCTCCAGAAAGCATATCTTTGCCCAGCAGTGCAGAGTATTTGGCAAAATGAGATTGCAGCTATCCAGCAAGAAATTCGTAAAAACCAGCATTACACTGTTATAGGAGGTGATGCGTGTTGTGATTCAATGGGTCACTCTGCTAAATATGGTAGCTACACTTTTGTGGAGCTTGGCCTGAACAAAGTCTTGGATCTTGAACTTGTCCAGGTGATAATTATATGTACTTGCATAGTTAGCATAGAATATAAAATCTAAATTGTACTGTAAGTTCAACAGCCAACAATTTGTGCTAACTGCTTTTATATTTATGTTTATCTTTATACATCTAATTGTCATTGTTATACTTGTATTTTAGTATTGTAGTATATAGCATGAGTTTAGTTGAATTTTGAATATTCATGAATATGAATATGAATAAGATCATGTTGCTTTATTATTCTACTAATAGTCCAATGAAGTTGGTAGTAGTTATCATATGGAGCAAGAAGGGCTTAAAAGGATCATGAATCGCATGAAAGAAAATTCTATCAATATCTCCGCCATTGTAACAGATGGTTATTGTAATTGTAATCAATCCAAAAGTGGCTTAGGGAGAATAGTAAAGATACAAAGCATTTCTTGGATGTGTGGCATGTTGCAAGAGGTGGGTGTTATATGCTTATGCACTCACTATTATAATTCTCATTATTGTTCGATTTCTGATACCTTATAACTATATGAAGAACATATTTGTACCTCCATCTAGATTTATCTAGATATTATCAATACACCCTTCAAATTCAAAAACTCATAAATTGGTATCAAGATTTTTAACTCTGATTTTGCTTCCTCTTTTCCATAGGTCTTGCAAAAAAGATGGATGCTTTGGGAAAAAGACCCAATTGCTCTCTTGTAAATAGATGGAGCAGAAGTATAATCAACCACCTCTATTGGTGCGCAGTTAGCTCTGGGGATAATGGTGACTTGATGCTTGCAAAATGGAACTCTGTAGCAAATCATATCTGTAATATTCATGAAGGACATTCAGATTTATACCCAAAATGTAGTCATAAATCGTTGGATGATGATCCAAGGGAATGGTTTGAAGCTGGTAAGTCCATTGGTGGTTGCAAATTTGTGCACTAAATTTGTGAAATTTACTCCTGAATTTTTATTTTAAATCTCTACTTCTAGAAAGTAAATTCTATGACATCTGGTAGGTATATTTCTTGTTTCCAGGCATGTGCATTACATTTCTGATATGGGTAATTCCATGTCAAATTTTATATAGAAGTCATGAATTGTCACCCACCCTCTCAGATTTTGATGAATTCTACAATATTGATTCAGTCCCAGGAGAAACCACCTCACCCAAAATTTCAGCACAATAGGTTAAAGCGTTCCGGAGATACTGCCAGTCAAAAGTTGGCTCATTTTAGGGCGTGGTCCGCCCAAAATTTGTGCCAGCGATAAATAATAACATTCAAAGTCCTGTGAAAGTTTTTTTTATCACAATATTTACATCAAATTATCAACACAGTACATTCTGATAGTGCAGATTTCAAATATGACCACCAAAACATCAACAAAGCAAAGCTAGTTACTCAAAAAATAGGTTAAAAGTTTATATTAGACTTCTTAGATTTTGTGACTAGCCAATTTGAATGTCATTTTTTGCAAAGTCTGCAAAATTTTTAAGAATTGAAAATAGTACCAGCTGAAAGCTCTTGAATTGGGCTTTTTAACCATATAAATATTATCATTTGTATATTCAGCATTACTGAGATTATTTGAGTTATATAAGAGTAATAAAATTTGCGAAACTTGCCTCACAACCATTCTGTATGCCAAATGGCTGGCAAAATATTTGTCAAAACATATAGTATTTCTTTTAAAAAACATATAGAAGTAGATGCCTAAGATGAAAACTATTACTCATTTACTTCAAGATACCATTTCTTATGTTAAAAAACTTCTGGAATGTTTTGTTAATGTTGTTTAAATCAGCATGTTTTATGCTGTATGTCCTTCCAGTTGCTGTTACTGGAGCATCAATCTTCACCACCAAGAAATCATTTTCTGGAATGCAACAAACATCAGCTTTAGCTGGCCATACAAAGGTCTGTGCTGGGCCTGAGGGATGAAAAAAGTTTACTTTTGCATCTCTTTCTTCTTTGTTTATCACTTCAACCATGCCAATCCACCACTTGTCATCATAAACGCATGCCACAAAATCATTCTCTTGAACATCCTTTAAGGTTAGAGCTTTGTATATTTCTCCTTTGAAATTGTGGGTTCCTGAAAAACTGTCATCTTCTGATGTACGCTTGTAAGCAATCTCATAGGGACCAATTGGTTCAAAGTAATGGAAGCTTCTTGTTCCTGGTACTGTTGATCCCCAGGCAAAACAGTCTTCCAAGCCCTCTCTGACTGACATCATTACCTCATTTGTTATAAAAATGAAACTGATGTTATTTATATTTTCACTGCAAGAGAGAAACATATCCTTTGCAGTTAAAATCTGTTGTGAAATTGGTCTTTGTAAACTTGCCCTAGCTGTCAGTCTATTAACTGCTCCTCCGATGCCATCGCATGGGGACTTGCCATGGCTTGATGCAAAGAATGTCCCGTTTGCAGATTACATAAAATCTTGCTGATGGAGTGTCAAGTTCAAGAAATTTTTGTAGTTCTTGTATTGGGAAGCACAACCATCAGAAAAATATTCTAGTTTGCATATTTTTGGCAATTTAGTTTTGATGACCTGTGTTAATTCTTTTTGAATCTGATATACCAAGCTGGTGTCATGTTCCAGATCATCTGATAAAATACAGAAGGAGTTCTGCATCAGTGTCTCATCTTCTTTGAAATATACAACAAGTGGGTGCAAGGTACAGCCTCACAGATTGGGTTACAGTGCAAATAGTGATGCAGTCAATGATTGGGTGAACACAGCCCATGTTCATGCTAAACTCAAAGAAAAGTTGAATGAGAAAATAAAATTATCAACATCCTGCGTCCACAAGGAGACTACTCCAGGGGCAAAGAAAGTGAGCAATTCAAATATTCAATTACTTTATACAAAACTGGTTCATTATGGCAAAGATCCCTTTGATGGAAACACAAGGGTTATCACAACAGGAAAAGAAACAGATGAAACCATATTTAATGATGTTTCCAAAGCTGCAGAGGTAGCAAACCCAGCGAGGTAGCAAATGCTGACATCCAGAACATCATCTCTCTATCGATTGTTCATGGAACTCACCCGGGGAAGATTTTATAGTTTTTTGAAAGGCTGGTAACTAGCATTCAAACCCTGCAAACAATGGGAAAACTTAAGATTATGAATTGATATGCAAGAGCAATGCTGGACAAGCTACCTGGGATTGGAGCAGACCTGGTTAGAACAGACGATGCCTGGCAGGAATGGGGATTCACTCAGCTGGTAGAGGCATTGGGAAAATGGTGCGAAAGGAACCCATTTCACTCAGATGAACAGAGCAAGCAGCAAGAAACTCATAGCCGTGATAGAGTTTTTCAATCAGATGACAAAATGGGAAGGCCACGAGGTTGCGTCTATTGCCATTAGCCAGGACATAAATCAGCAGAATGCGACAAAATCAAGAGTTTGGCGGAGAGGAAGAGACTGCTCAGTGATGAGAAGCTGTGTTTCAATTGTATAGGTGGCAAGCATCGTGCCGCAGAATGCTGTAGCAAGATTAGATGCCAAAGGTGCATTGGTAAACATCGCACATCCATTTGTGACCAAGAGCATCAACAAATTCTTAGCTAGATCTTTCTGTAGCAAGAGTATATAAATAGACAAGCATTATAGAAATTATTTTCAACAAACCAATCAGAGGATCAACAAGCATAGTAGTGAGCGTATCAATTAGCAAGAGTTAAGTAATCTATCATAGCGAATTAATCACAAAGGGATTGATTCTGTGAGTTCATTCCTGTGAGAGTTTATTGTAGTGGAGAACTAGAACAAATTCCCGACAAAGTGGATTGTCTCTTAATCCAGCCAACCCATCCCTGGAATGTCTCTTTGTGCAGACGCCAATAAAATGAAGTAGCAATTTGGACCTAACCAGTCTACCCAATTGGATCGGAGCAGGTTCCATACCTGGTAAATGTCTGCAGTTAAACGGTCTCAGCAGTGTAAGGTCGATAAACTGCCCCTGCTTGATTTTTTCCACCAGATTGCCAGGGACAGGAGGTGAGGCTGACGAAACTGCAATGGGGGCAGGCTGAGTTGGGGTAGAATTATCATGGTCTTCCAGATTATCATGGCTAGTCCCAGCTTCAGGGCATAACTTTCTTGAGGGGCCCATAGCCAATACAGCCCCCAGTGACCCGGGCTGAAAGGCCAAAATGGCCCCCAAAATTCTGTTAAGCGAAGTTTCAACATTTGAGAACCGCTTCATGGCCTCCATCCTTGTCATTGTCTCTGGGGGGTACTACGGCATCTGTCACACCCGTCACTTCTGATGGCACTTGTGAATACGAATGATCCATAATAATGTATGCACTCATAACTACGTCTATCAATACCAACAAATGAAAAATCAGTCCACCTTGAGAGGTTAACAAAAATGCTGACTGTTTTGACATTGTCAAGTCTGAATTTGTCCACATGCTTCAGGTAAGCCTATTTTATGGTTTCCATAAAATCTTAAGAGTCAGGAATGTGTTGCCGTGCCCTTTTTCCATATTCCATAACGATCAAAGAAAAAATATTCCCATTGATTGGGGACAAGTTGAAACTTTTAGGCATCATTCGTTCTTCAATGAGTAGTTTGTCTACTGCATTTCACAGGATATTGGTCCAAAACACATCCCATGTGACTTAAGACGTTGTGGAGATTATTGCACCTTGAAAAAAGTCATATCTCAGACCGCTATCCAATACCACACATACTTATCTTTGCAAGGCAATGTTTTGCTGAAAATTGATTTGGTAAAAGCAAAAAATCAAATTCCAGTTGAGCCATCAGATATTCAAATAATTGCCATCACAATGCTGCCCTGACTTTTCAGTGCTTTATGGATGATGTGCTACAAATTCTTTATTTATGTCGCCTATATTGGCGATGTTCTAATTGTAAGTACTACATATGAGAAGCATTGGCATCATAGATATTAATTCTATCCATCACCCAACCTGCCAATGCAAAACAAAATGGCGAAGAACTTTGCAGATCAGGGTTTCAACCACTTTACAGTTTTGTGACTTTCCACTTTTACAACTAAACGATTAACTAAAACACCTCTATAGACAATCCTTGGCCATATGTTCTGAAAAAATTTGTAAAGTAAATCACAAAAATCTAATGACATCTATTATAGAAGACAATGCTTGCTTTAAAGAATTTGAGAGAGAAAGCCAAAGTTTTGAAGTGTCTTGACTTTTAGAATTAAGATACATGAGAGAAAGAAGCTGAGAATCCTGAAAGTACACAGAAAAGGTTGCCTACAATTATATGACAATTGGAAAACCCAATGTGGATAAAAAAAAGTTGCACATTCTTAGAGACGATCATTACCACTAGAAAACCAAATCAATGGGGTTAGAATTTTTTGATACTGAACCTTTTTGGCCAGTTTTTCCCAAGATCAAAGAAGGTAAAATGAAGAAGACATACATTGCTTTATTAAAGGGGCAGTACCACTGGGACAACCAAGTTAAAACTGGTGCAAAAATTGAGTAGATTTAGCTTTTTAAATTCCTTCAGGAAATTGTGTATTTAAGGAGATACTGCTAGACATGAGAACTCAGAAAATGTAAAAACATTTAATGCTGCAGCTAGGTCAGGTCATCACAATAGGTCAGGTCACAACCACAGGTAAGGTCACCACCACAGGTCAGTTCACCACTGCAGTTTAGGTCAGCACCACACGTCAGGTCACCACCACAGGTCAGGCCCCCCCCCGCACAGGTAAGGTCACCACCACAGATCAGGTCATCACTACAGGTCAGGTCACCACAACATGTCAAGTCACCACCATTGGTCAGGTCAGGTCACCACCATTGGTCAGGTCATCACAACAGGTCAGGGCACCGCCAAAGGTCATGCACTACTTTGTAATACTACCACCAGAAACAAACACAATAATTGAGGTATGGAAAGGCATCAGAGATAATAATGTTGTGGGGAAGTATGTTATCTCGTTGTTTATAATAATGTATTTCTATTTGCTTTCCAAGCTTGCGATTTTTTAGCCTTATTCAATTATATTAGCTATAGTCCATTCCAGTCCTGTTTGTTCATTATAAATTAAGTTACATGAAGTCCCTCCTAACATTCCTTGGTGCTCATAATTGGCGGGAAATGTCACTGCGCACATTGTTCGCGCTTAGACCTTACATATTTGCAAGCAAATTCAGACCTTATATATTTGCAAACAAATTCAGAACTTAGATATCTGAAATTTCCGACAACAATTTATAAATACCAAGTGGACATGCATTAAGTTAGAGGAAATAACGTTGATATGAATTGTACAACAGATTTATAATAGATTTAAACAATATATTTACAATGACATCATATATTTTGTATAATAGACTTTTGTCCCATATGGCGGGGCATACACCAATGCACTTTCTTGTCCATCCAAGTTGATGAAACAACAAATTAGCAGCTAAGTGTCATTGAACGTCTTGCTGGAAATGGAGAAATTGTTGAAAGGTTATTGGAATTTGTTAATGTGAGTCAGGATAGGTGAACACCAGCAATAACTGATGTTGTGAAGAACATCTTAAGTAAATATGGAAAGTTTCTGAAGGAAAAAGCTATTATGCAAATAGATGTTGGTCGACTGTCATGCCTGGGCACAATGGTTGTGGCCAAACTCTTTATTGTCAGGACTAGCCTTTAGCTAACTTTTTTAGCATACTTCTCTCAAAGTACCTTTTACCATCATAAGTGCTTTCAGTAACTCTTCAAGGTTTAGCTCCAATAGAAAAACTGCCTTACCACAAAAAGCATTGATATTTCAAGCCAAGGGAGAGACAATGCAATGAAAGACCACAGAAGTTATTTAGAGAGGTATGAAAGGCTTCTTACTGCTTTGGAGGAGATATTTGAGGAGCCTTGAAGCTGGAATGACAGTACCTTGATGCAAGCAAATGGTCTGTTACAGTACCTTAGTAGCTTTAAATTTTGTTGTATGTTATGCTTGTTTGATAAGATTCTTAAGCATTCATTTATATTATTTAGCATCCTGCAAAACATATCAAGTGATTTCTCTATTGGTGTTGGCAAGATTAAGATTTTGCATATTTTTTGTCTAAGTTTTGCAGAATTCTCAAAGATGTTGGATTTGGTGATTTCTATGAATTAACAGTTTATGTGGTTGGATTACCTCGTTCAAGTTTTCAACAATAAGCCAGAGATCATTGACAGTAAAGTTTTGAATTTCTTTATTGGGTAAACCTAGTGTTTGAAGAAGAGTGTTCCAGATAGCAAGCTGGTGTTTTTGCAAGATATATATGGACTTCTCTTTGATATGTTTGCTCTAGAGAGCCAGCTACTTTTTAACTATAAGGATACAGATTTTCACAAAGTAAGTCCCACAGAGGTATATATATTATTACAATCTTCATCGAAGCCTGCCTGAAGCTGTCAGACGTCTGAAGCTTTATGCTGTCATCGCTTCTGTAAAAAGATCATTTTCTTGTCTAAGGAGAGTCAGGATATTCCTTTGCAGCAAAATGAGTCCAGATTGTCTTTCATCTCTGTGTAGAATTTCATTTCACAAAGACATTCTTAAGGAAAAGGAAAATTAATGGCAACTCCACAATTTGATAGTTTAAATAATTAGCCAAAAACGGAGGAGGCAAGGAGAAGCACAAGTTTTCGTTCCAATCTCCCAGTGTTATATTTATATATATATTCATTTATATATTATATTAATTATCATATTGCTGTCTAGAGTGCTCAACTTGTCGGAGCGATTAGATAGACTAAAATAAACAGACTATTGTGACACAACTCCGAGTTTCATGTGTAGACAATCATCAGGTGTCTAAAAGAACACAAATTAACGGCAAGCAAGATACAAAGGTAAAAACGAATAATCGAACAAAATCAAACAAAGTTAATTGTGTAGAGTGATAAATCATAGCAACTACATTCTAAGATCGAAAGTTGCTAATCAAAAATTTGTTCTGGTGGCTTATAACTTCTGTTCTATTATTAAGTATTTTATTGTCCCCTAAAGATTGAATTATATAAAATGTTTCTGTCAGGCATAATTTACAAAAGTTGCTTCTAGCTGTGCTCTTTATTCTCTTGACAATTCTCCATTTAATGGTTGGTATCTTTCCTTGTTCCTTCAATTTCCAAATATATTTTGAAAGTTCAGTACTCTTTTTATATCTTTCGTGTTTAAAATCTTTGTTATGGTTAGCATATCGTAGTTTGAATGTATCTTCGGTAAGGCCAATATATTTTTTTGATTCATCATCTTTATTGTTGCTAACTGTTGCTTCATATATGAGGTTGGGTGTTAAACATTCATTTCCTAATGGGCAGTCGTCTTTGTTTTTGCAGTTACATCCATGTTCTTCCTTGCTTTTTGGGTTTAAAACAGAATTGTTGTATGAGGATATTATGGAACCTATATTTTTCATACAGCTGTAACTAACTTTGATAATGTTTTTGTTAAAAATTTTGGCCAGTTTTTCATCATCAGCCAAATGTTTCTTTACAAGCTTCAAGAAGATTTTGCCCATGTTGGTTTTAACATTCCTCGAGTAGGGTTGATTAAACCAAATAATTTTCCGTTTGCGTTTCTTGTTATCTTCATTTTTCCTTTTCTTTGTATCTTTGGAGATGTATTTAAAATTGTCGTTAAATCCACTTTTTGTAAGAGCTTCTTCATATACGGTCATTTCTCTTCTATAAATTTATTCCGTTGATGATAATTCTGAAATCTGTTTGTTGATGCCTTTAGTTAGTTCTTTTAATACTGTCGGCGGGTGATTAGATTGTTTGTTGATGTAGACAGGATTGTTATTTGGTTTTCAATATGGTTGAATAGTATTGTTTTGAAGGTCCAGGGGTATATCTAAAAAGTCTACTGTTTTGAGATTTGTCTTCATTGTAATGGATAGTCCACACTCTTTTATTATTTGGATTACTCACATTCCATAAAGACAGCCCAGAAAGGCCAACAGACCACGATAGCAGGGAGTTCCTCAAGACAATCCTCTCTACATCAAGTCTACAGGACAGGTTGTGAAATACAGCACTTGAAGTAGGGGCTGCGCTCTTTACCACGGCAATATAGTATAAAGTTGCATAGACCCTGATTAGCAACCTACCTGATTACGCTAGTAAAATTACGTTTTATCCAAACGCTGAACCAACTTTCAAATCTTCAAAAAGCCTTCTGGATCTTGTTCCCCTTCTACACCAGCCTATGTCCATATCTCCGCCAACCCAATCTGTTTCAAGTCTAATTGAAATACTACAGTCCGATGAGCCTTCATGATCTTCAAGGCCAAAAGAATCACCAAATTTTCTGAATATCTATATATATATATATATATATATATATTATGCGAAGCTCACTGCGCATGCGCTGTTTGAGCACTCTGGCAGGGTCCCACAATCAATCCGTTAAACTGCCTTGTTGCTCTGACAGCATAGCTCGGGTTGTGTCTCAGACAAGCTCTGTGCTGCACTGACGAGCCCACAAAGGGCGAAACAGTACTGTCTGCAGATTGAGTATTACGCTCCCTTACACTAGTTTGGTCGAGCACTCTATGTCTGGGACTCTGTGGGGACCTGCTTCTAGCATTATGCGAAGCTCACTGCGCATGCGCTGTTTGAGCACTCTGGCAGGGTCCCACAATCAATCCATTAAACTGCCTTGTTGCTCTGACAGCATAGCTCGGGTTGTGTCTCAGACAAGCTCTGTGCTGCACTGACGAGCCCACAAAGGGCGAAACAGTACTGTCTGCAGATTGAGTATTACGCTCCCTTACACTAGTTTGGTCGAGCACTCTATGTCTGGGACTCTGTGGGGACCTGCTTCTAGCACTATGCGAAGCTCACTGCGCATGCGCTGTTTGAGCACTCTGGCAGGGTCCCACAATCAATCCGTTAAACTGCCTTGTTGCTCTGACAGCATAGCTCGGGTTGTGTCTCAGACAAGCTCTGTGCTGCACTGACGAGCCCACAAAGGGCGAAACAGTACTGTCTGCAGATTGAGTATATATATATATATATATATTATGTGTGTTTATATAAAGATGATCAGTAAAAAAACAACTTGATTGACGTTTCGCTATAAGCTTCTTCAGAATAACTAACACATACATATGGAGCGTAAAATAAGGAATACGAAAGAAAAGAACAAAAGGTAGCACATTTTACAAGCAAGAACAATGATAGCTAATTTAACAACATAATGATAGTTTCTAAGCCCAGCCAGAGGTGAGAAAAGATGGATAAATACAATAGATAAAAGAACAATAGAAGTGCGATAGCAGATGGTATAGCATGCAGAAAAGTCAAAGAAAAAGAAACGGTAAATGCTGTCTGTCCCAAAAAAATCAAGAAACTAGGTAAATAAATATAATAAATATAAAATGCAAAGAAAAGAAAGAAAGTAGATAGAAAACGTGGAAAAAGTCAACAGAAGTAACAAGGAGAAAATATATTTATATATATATATAAAATATATTTTTCAGCTTCTTGTCACAGATCTATTTTTCACGCATCTGTCATTGTATTTTATCTGTTGAATAATATGTTCCTTCTACATTATTTGGTTCTATTGTTGCCTCCTATATCTACTTCATAACAGGCTATGCTTGAAACATTATATTAAATTTCGTTTAATTTTCTTATTACAACTTTACTATAATTCCTTGTTTTGTTCTATAACATTGTACAGCAGACAATCTAGTAAATGTGAGGAATAGTTTTGCCTTGTAACTCATAATGAATCTGAACCAGCCATGACAAGTATGAATAAGCTAAATTATCAAGAGTTCGAATATCACGAAATTTTTTAGCAATAATGCTCTCTAAACATCATCTTAACACATGCTCTCTAAACATCGTGTGTCAAAACGCATTCCTTTATAGGTTGACCTCATTGACAGGTAGCTGATTGCAAAAAAGATTGCAAATGTTGCAGGTATCAGATTATTCAACCAGAATGCCGCTAATATGACAGGTATGATTGGAAACCAAACTCAAAATTTGTATTTCCAAGCAGAAAAAATAATGGAAAAAGTTTGAAATTTGTTTTACCTTGCCTTGCATACTCGAATCTATCACCAAGCACTGTGTGATCTCTTTGGAAGAAAATCTGGTTAGAATGCATTTAAACAGGCTAGGTTTATGAAAAGTCCTTCAACCGATTTATCTTCTGCACATTATATAATTGAACAGCATCAAAATAACCTACGAATTGCTAAAACAACGACTCAATGAACAAAAACAAAAAGTCATTGAAATTAAAAAATGAGTCTCTAGACAAAGAAAGGTTGAAGAGGTTGAAGGTTGTAAAAAAGGTTGAAGATTGCTTCTCTTGCAAAGTTTGTTCTTTCATTTGCAAGAAAATATTCTGTGATTTTCTATGATCGTCATGAATATTTCTGTTCCCTGAATAAGTATGTTCCTCTATTGTTGTTCCTGACTAAAAACATCACGTGATTCGTTAAAATAAGGTTTCCAATGTTTAAGGCGTGGGGTGGATCTAAATACCTGTCTATTGCGACCACTCTACAAGTTCGTCAAATGTGGTTGTGTGCTCGACTGTGCGAATATTTCACATCATTCATTGACTTCATACCTGCTAATTTAGTAGAAGTGTACATTATTGTATGTATAATATTTTACGTATACAGGGGTTTCATTTAAATCTTCCTATAAGTAGCATGAGCATAGCAATTTAGCTTCAAATATTTAGTCCGTAGTATACGCCTAGCACTGAGGTTTTCAAAATTCCTATAAAAAAGTTTTTGAAGAATTCAATTATATACTGGTAGAATCAACCAGTTACTTGTAAGTGTGTCTATCTTAATAACAGAAATGCAGCGTGTGACCATTTTGCACAATGAATTTTTTCAGCCATAAGTTTTAGTGGGACTTCGCCAATCTTTGCATTATCTTAGCACTTGTTTCTTGTTGATCGCTACATTACAAGGCAGTTATCATGATAAATTGATGCTGTTCTTACAGCAACTTCATAATCAACATTAATTTAATACCTCAATGGCATACCTGTAGATCTTTGAATAGACATGGGAGAAGAGAGATATGACCGAATATATACTTTTGGGAGAAAAATGAGCTGCCAGAAAAGAAAGTGGCAATCAAAGAAAGGACATTAGAAGAGAAGAGCAAGGAAGAAGTCTTTCATCAGTGGTAGAAAATTTGATTATTATGACTTCAATAGTTTCTTAAAGTTATAGCATATCATAACTCAGGTTTTGTCAAATTTTCTCTGGTTTTCTTGCATAAATATCAACCAAGAAAAGAAGAAATGATAAGGATGAGGAAACAAAACATTTGAAAGCATTGTAGAGGGACTGCAAATGCTAAAAATTTTCCATGTTTTGTGAAAGACTTTGTTGCCAGATTGTTTTTCAGTTCGGTTCATTCAGTTCAGTTTGTTTTTCAGTTCATTTCATTTTTAAAAATCTATACACACAAATCTTTTGAAATACAGCAACAGGTTACAAAAGATGAAAGATATTACATACAATAAGAGAAATAGAGAACAAGAAAAAAATAAAGATGATTTTACAAAACGAAGGAGATTTGCATGCAGGTATTTCTGAAAGGAGGAGCTTTCTCAATTGATAGAGAGAGCACCCCCTGTGCTAACAATCTATTAATTTAGTATTTACACCACAGGCTGCCTAGGGGGAGCCATAGGACCAACGAGAACAACTGCCACACAACCCCTGCTCCCTCCGAAAAGGAAATAGCAAAGAATGCCCGACAGCCATCCCCACCCATCCCACATCCCCACCCATCCCACATCCCCACCCATCCCACATCCCCACCCATCCCACATCCCCACACAGAGCAGCCTATAGTTTCCAAAGAAGAGTTTTCAAGCTTCAATTACTTTATTCTAGAATTTTTTAAATTTATATTGTCAGAACAAGGGAGCGTGATCAAATCATTCTGTCAGGGACAGCTTTTAAGAAACCATGATTTTATTGAAACTATTTAAACGGTATTTCAACGTTTCTGTTCTCAAAGGTGGGAGAATGTTCTTCAAGTCAGTTGGAAAGAATTCAAGAGGTCCAAAAGTAGCCCATGATGATAGACAGGTGGTAAGAGGCATGACAGAAGCGCGGCATGTTTTTGATGCCTTCCATGACAGTTTGATGGGGGTTCATACTGACACAACAAAAACTGTTATTGCTGCAAGATACTACTACCCTGGTATTTGGCATGATACAAAAATGGGTTAGCTTGTGAAATGTGTTCTTTTGTCAATAAGAGGTTCCCTAGTTCCATTATTGAGATATTAAAATTCCATTACAAACCAAACATTATGCTTGGATTAAGTTTTCAGACACCGTGAAATCTTAGTTATTGAAAGTATTACACTGATCCCCAGACTTTTCTTACTACCAACATTAACTATTTTGCTGTTCTAAGCTTTACTTTGCTGATTAATACCCAAGATCCAAACTAGTCTCAATCTGAAAATTTTTCCAGGGCTTTCCAGTAATAATGTAATGACCCAAAATTGCTTTCTCTTGCCACTATAGAATTACAACTTTGTTACTTTGAATTGTCTTTTGCATACATAACAAGGCTTTGTCTCATAAAGTCGAAGATGTAATGAATCTCTGAAATATCTTGAATTCTTCAGGATGCTTTCAAGTTGCAAACTTTTTGCACATTTAAAGGTCTTTGTCAAAATTTACTGTTTCTATTGATAAAAACTAAAGGTCTACTGAAACATTATTCTCTAAGCCAGCGGAAAATCTATATGTTCTTAATTTACAACAATTTATTGATGTCTGTAAATATAAGAGATGTGGTCATTTGATTTCAGATTGAAACTTGTGATAAATGCCAAAAGTGATCAAAGAAGATCTGCAGCCAATCAAAGTGAGTCTTCTAATATTAAAAAAAATCAATTTTTGCAATTAAGGTCTATAAATTTTTGAAAGGAAAGTTCACAAAAAGATCATTCATTACATCTAGCAGGTACTCTCTCTTGCAATAAATGCTAGATCATTCATTACATCTAGCAGGTACTCTCTCTTGCAATAAATGCTAAATAGAGCTCGAGGTGGTCGTAAAAGAACCCATTGTTCATGAATAACTTGAAATCATATTAAGAAATCCAGGTAAGATGATTAATTCTTTTCCCTGAGCTTTCTTTCCCTCGAAAATATTCTCTCTAAAAATGTAGTTGTAAAAAACTTGCGCCTCTTTTTGACAGGCATATCCATTTGAGATGATCAGATGATAGGAATTGATCTTTTTGGTCCATTGAAGAGAACTGCTGATGGAAACATGTATATTTTTACGGCGACAGACTTTTTTAAAAAGTTGACGGAAGCATTTCCAATTCCAAGCAAGAATGCTGAAGAAATTGCTAAATGCATAATGAAATTGTTTTTCCACAACAGTGCTTGCCATGCTTTTTTGTTGGATAACGGAGGTGAATTTGTGAACGAGGTAAAGCTTTTTATTAACGAGAAATGTTTCAAATATTCATTAATTTGTTAAGTGATGAAAATATTTGCAGTCTTTCATGAAGTAATTGATACCGTATAAGCCCAAATGAACACGCTTTTGGTGTAGAAGAACCAGATGATTCTAAGTTGCTACTCCAAATATCAAGCTCAATGCGACCTTCAGGCAACTCTTAGTTGGAAAGTATATTAGGTTGAAGGGAAGGAAGATTAATTGAATATGATAATTTGATGTTTGTACAAGAAATAAAGGATTTCCTATGTCAGCTGGCAGGCATTTATATAAATAATATGTGATTTAAACAAAACTTTGGATGATAAATTGGCATGCGAACTAAGTTAAGAAAAAAAATACCTTCAGGCAGCTCACTAGCTAATGCATGAAAACCAAAATCTCTTTTCTACATCTTTAATCTTAGCTAGAAGAGGCAAAATGCTTTTCTCTTGGTAGAGGAATCCTTGTGAACAGATTTTCTGATTACTTGTTCATTTGTCATTTTGTTCATAAATTTTACAATTTGTAAAGGTTATTGAATACTTGATGAAAGTGCTGGGGACAAATCATAAAAAGACATCAATGTATCACCACCAAACCAATGGACTGGATGAAAGAACTAATCAAACAATCCAACCGTATTTGTTGCATTCTACTTTCGGCTAATTCGACAGACAACTTCTAAGGGATTGTTTCAGCATTAAAATTATCTCTGAATTATAAACTTAAGAGTGTCTTGGAAGCATTAATTTTCACTAGTTACTGCAATATGTTATTGTTAATTAAAAACGTTATTTTACAGGCGATTACATACCTTTCTGAATGGGCACCCAGAGAAGTGGGACAATTTTTTAGATGCTGCACTTTGGTCAATGCGCTTGAAGCAACAGGCCATGACAAAGTTTTTGCCATTGAAAGTGCTTTATGGTCGGGAGCCCAGATTTCCCATCAAACTTGAAGATTTGCCGGAAACTTTAGAGGTAGTCTAATTCCGATGGTCACTACTTAGTGTTTTCATTTACCTGACGATAATGTTCAAATGTAGAATTGAACGTACTTCATTTCTACTTTTAAATAATAACAACAGTACAAAAACACTATTACCGTAATATATTTCACCTTTCCTTAAATATTTTTGCAACAAGATTTCAACAGAATCTCAAGATTTGTATCCAAACTGGATTTTCTTTAGTTAGAATTCAGTTATTTTAAGTTATACTTACAATGTTTAGCTCTTTATTTTGATTTTAGATAAACAAATTATTACCGAGCAAAGGTGATATACATGCTCACATGGATCGTTTCCAAGCTGCCAACGTTAAGCTGTATGAGAAGCTCTGCTCAAACGTTGCTGTAGCGCAAAGCAAGCAGACAGAAAAGAGATGCTCAGCAAACAGCCTGATTTGAAAGTCGGTTCCAAAGTCCTGGTTTCAAATATTGGAATCAAAAGCCAGAAAGGGAGAAAACTGGAACAGAGATACTCCGGTCCAGTGAGAATTCGAGGATGCGTTTTCGTAAATTTTTCCCGCCGTTTTCAAATTTTATTAGATCCCAGTCTTACTGCGTGAGTGTATTTGCCATTTTCATCACATAGAATTAGTAATAATGGTAAATTGTCTTTGGACAATCATGATTGAAATTACTTATGGCCATTGCTGAAAATTTTTCACTTTTATGAAATCAATTTTGATTCCAGAGGACAAAGATACATCTATTGATTTCGAGGGTGAATATGAAAGTCTTTGTGCCGTTATAATAATTACATTGGCGATCACCACGAATCTAAGGCTAGACAGGGAGTTCATCTTTGACGGGATTATGAACCATTCCTAGATTTAAAGAAAAGTAAATAATTGATTTTGTCTAAATGTGAAATTTCTAAAGCGTTTTGAGTTGGGAGAGGTAAAAACGTAATTTACCTTGAATCTCGACACGAAATTTAGCGATCATTTGCGAGGTGTTTTTTTATATTATTCTTTGCGATCGAACAGTGACCCCGATATAGGTTAAATAGCAATGCATGATGATGAACTGGACAAAAAATGAAGTGGAAGTTCGCTTTGTAGAGGCGTGCAATGTTTTTTGTAGACAATGTGGTAAAAACACGCTGAAATGGCGAAAATAGGCCTAATTCTAGCTGCGAAGCGATTTTGTTGTGAAAATCCTGTGTGCTGATTGGCTTAGAACATGGTAGCGAACTGAGCTCTCAGCCAATCAAAGATTTGACCGCTATGCTGTATACGCCTAGCACTGAGGTTTTCAAAATTCCTATACAATGGTTTTTGTAGAATTCAACTATATACCGGTAGAATCAACCAGTGTGTCTATCTTAATAACAGAAATGCAGCGTGTGACCATTTTGCACAATGAATTTTTTCAGCCATTAGTTTTAGTGGGACTTCGCCAATCTTTGCATCTTCTTAGCACTTGTTTCTTGTTGATCGCTACATTACAAGGTAGTTATCATAATAAAATGATGCTCGTCTTACAGCAACTTCATAATCAACATTAATTTAATACCTAAATGGCATACCTGTAGATCTTTGAATAGACATGGGAGAAGAGAGATATGACCGAATATATACTTTTGGGAGAAAAATGAGCTGCCAGATAAGAAAGTGGCAATCAAAGAAAGGACATTAGAAGAGAAGAGCAAGCAAGAAGTCTTTCATCAGTGGTAGAAAATTTGAATATTATGACTTCAACAACTACTTACTCCGAAAAGGAAATAACAAAGACTGCCTGACAGCCATCCCCATCCATCCCACACCCCCACAAAGAGCAGCCTATAGTTTTCAAAGAAGAGTTTTCAAACTGCAATTACTTTAATCTATAAATTTTTAAATTTATGTTGTCAGAACAAGGGAGCGCAATCAAATCATTCTGTCAGGGATAGCCCTTGAGAAACCCTGATTTTATTGAAACTATTTAAACCGTATTGCAACGTTTCTGTTCTCAAAGGTGGGAGAGTGTTCTTCAAGTCAGTTGAAAAGAATTTAAGAGGTCCAATAGTAGCCCATGATGATAGGCAGGTGGTAAGAGACATGACAAAAGCACGGCATGTTTTTGATGCCTTCCATGACAGTTTGATGGGGGTTCATACTGACACAACAAAAACTTGTACTGCTATTGCTACAAGATACTACATACTACTGCCCTGGTATTTGGCATGATACAAAAATGGGTTAGCTTATGAAATGTGTTCTTTTGTCAATAAGAGGTTCCCTAGTTCCATTATTGAGATATAAAAATTCCATTACAAACCAAACATTATGCTTGGATTAAGTTTTCAGACACCGTGAAATCTTAGTTATTGAAAGTATTACACTGATCCCCAGACTTTTCTTACTACCAACATTAACTATTTTGCTGTTCTAAGCTTTACTTTGCTGATTAATACCCAAGATCCAAACTAGTCTCAATCTGAAAATTTTTCCAGGGCTTTCCAGTAATAATGTAATGACCCAAAATTGCTTTCTCTTGCCACTATAGAATTACAGCTTTGTTACTTTGAATTGTCTTTTGCATATATAACAAGGCTTTGTCTCATAAAGTCGAAGATGTAATGAATCTCTGGAATATCTTGAATTCTTTAGGATGCTTTAAAGTTGCAAACTTCTTGTCATTTAAAGGTCTTTGTCAAAATTTACTGTTTCTATTGATAAAAACTAAAGATCTACTGATACATCATTCTTTAAGCCAGTGGAAAATCTTTATGTTCTTAATTTTACAACAATTTATTGGTGTCTGTAAATATAGGTGATGTGGTCATTTGATTTCAGATTGAAACTTGTGATAAATGCCAAAAGTGATGAAAGAAGATCTGCAGCCAATCAAAGTGAGTCTTCTAATATTTCAAGTAAATAAATTTTTGCAATTAAGGTCTGTAAATTTTTGAAAGGGCAGTTCACAAAAAGATCATTCATCACATCTAGCAGATATTCTCTCTTGCTAATTAGAGCTTGAGGTGGTCGTAAAAGAACCCATTGTTCATGAATAACTTGAATTCATATTAAGAAATCAGGGTAAGATGACTAATTTTTATCCCTGACCTTTCTTTTGCTCGAAAATATTCCCCCTGAAAATGTAGTTGTAAAAAACTTGTGCCTCTCATTGACAGGCAACATATCCATTTGCGATGATGGGAATTGATCTTTTTGGTCCATTAAAGAAAACTGCAGTTGGATATATTTTTACGGCGACAGACTTTTTTACAAAGTTGACGGAAGCATTTCCAATTCCAAGCAAGAATGCCAAAGAAGTTGCTAAATGCATAATGAAGTTGTTTTTCCACCACGGTGCTTGTAATGTATCTAGCCTGTAATCAATCTATATGTCATGATCTCTGTATCATGTTTGTAATGTACTGATGTCACTATGCTTTGTACTCTGTTGTTGTTGATTGATTGTAACCTGATTCATGTATTATAAGTAATTGTAATTAATAATGTAAGTCAGTGGTGATTCAGAATATGATGAATACAGGCGTATAAACCAGTGTCCTTTATTAGCGTTGACGCTACATGGTTGCCATGCTTTTGTGTCGGAAAGGGAGGTGTATTTGTGAACGAGGTAAAGCTTTTTAGTAACGAGAAATGTTTCAAATATCCTTTAATTCGTTAAGTGATGAAAATTTTTGCAGTATGTCATAAAGTAATCACTACCGTATAAGCCAAACTGAACACGCTTTCAGTGTAGAAGAACCAGATGATTCTAAGTTGCTATTCCAATATCACGCTCAATGCGACCTTGAGGCAACTCTTAGTTGGAAAGTATATTAGGTTGAAGGGAAGGAAGATTGATTTAATATAATAATATGATGCTTGTACAAGAAATAAAGGATTTCCTATGTCAGCTGGCAGGCATTTATATAAATAATAGGTGATTTAAGCAAAACTTTGGATGATAAATTGGCATGCGAACTGAGTTAAGAAAAAAAATACCTTCAGGCAGCTCACTTTTTAGCTAATGAATGAAAACCAAAATCTCTTTTCTACATCTTTAATCTTAGCTAGAAGAGGCAAAACGTCTTTTCTCTTGATAGAGGAATCTTGTGAACAGATTTCCTGATTACTTTTCATTTGTCATTTTGTTTATAAATTTTACAAATTGTAAAGATTATTGAATACTTGATGAAAGTGCTGGGGACAAATCATGAAAAGACAGCAATGTATCACCCCCAAACCAATGGACTGGACGAAAGAACTAATCAAACAATCCAATCGTAATTAGATCAAGATTTGTTGCATTCTTCTTTTGGCTAATTCAACAGACAACTTCTAACGGATTGTTTCAGCATTCAAATTATCTCTGAATTATAAACTTAAGACTGTCTTGGAAGCATTAATTTTCACTAGTTACTGCAATATCTTATTGTTAATCAAAAACGTTATTTTACAGGCGATTACGTACCTTTCTGAATGGGCACCCAGAGAAGTGGGACAATTTTTTAGATGCTGCACTTTGGTCAATGCGCTTGAAGCAACAGGCCATGACAAAGTTTTTGCCATTGAAAGTGCTTTATGGTCGGGAGCCCAGATTTCCCATCAAACTTGAAGATTTGCCGGAAACTTTAGAGGTAGTCCTAATTCCGATGGTCACTACTTAGTGTTTTCATTTACCTGAGGATAATGTTCAAATGTAGAATTGAACGTACTTCATTTCTACTTTTAAATAATAACAACAGTACAAAACACTATTACCATAATATATTTCACCTTTCCTTAAATATTTTTGCAACAAGATTTCAACAGAATCTCAAGATTTGTATCTAAACTGGATTTTCTTTAGTTAGAATTCAGTTATTTTAAGTTATACTTACAATGTTTAGCTCTTTATTTTGATTTTAGATAAACAAATTATTACCGAGCAAAGGTGATATAGATGCTCACATGGATCATTTCCAAGCTGCCAACGTTAAGCTGTATGAGAAGCTCTGCTCAAACGTTGCTGTAGCGCAAAGCAAGCAGAAAGAAGCAGACAGAAAAGAGATGCTCAGCAAACAGCCTGATTTGAAAGTCGGTTCCAAAGTCCTGGTTTCAAATATTGGAATCAAAAGCCAGAAAGGGAGAAAACTGGAACAGAGATACTCCGGTCCAGTGAGAATTCGAGGATGCGTTTTCGTAAATTTTTCCCGCCGTTTTCAAATTTTATTAGATCCCAGTCTTACCGCGTGAGTGTATTTGCCATTTTCATCACATAGAATTTAATAATGGTCAATTGTCTTTGGACAATCATGATTGAAATTACTTTGGGCTATTGCTGAAAATTTTTCACTTTTATGAAATCAATTTTGATTCCAGAGGACAAAGATACATCTATTGATTTCGAGGGTGAATATGAAAGTCTTCGTGCCGTTGTAATAATTACATTGGCGATCACCACGAATCTAAGGCTGGACAGTGAGTGCATCTTTGACGGGATTATGAACAATTCCTAGATTTAAAGGAAAGTAAATAATTGATTTTGTCTAAATGTGAAATTTCTAAAGCGTTTTGGGTTGGGAGAGGTAAAAACGTAATTTACCTTGAATCTCGACACGAAATTTAGCAATCATTTGCAAGGTGTTTTTTTATATTATTCTCTGCAATCGAACAATGAGGCCAATATAGGTTAAATAGCAATGCATGACGATGAACTGGACAAAAAATGAAGCGGAAGTTCGCTTTGTAGAGGCGTGCAATGTTTTTTGTAGACAATGTGGTAAAAACACGCTGAAATGGCGAAAATAGGCCTAATTCTAGCTGCGAAGCGATTTTGTTGTGAAAATCCTGTGTGCTGATTGGCTTAGAACATGGTAGCGAACTGAGCTCTCAGCCAATCAAAGATTTGACCGCTATGCTGTATACGCCTAGCACTGAGGTTTTCAAAATTCCTATACAATGGTTTTTGTAGAATTCAATTATATACCTGTAGAATCAACCAGTGTGTCTATCTTAATAACAGAAATGCAGCGTGTGACCATTTTGCACAATGAAATTTTTCAGCCATAAGTTTTAGTGGGACTTCGCCAATCTTTGCATTATCTTAGCACTTGTTTCTTGTTGATCGCTACATTACAAGGCAGTTATCATGATAAATTGATGCTGTTCTTACAGCAACTTCATAATCAACATTAATTTAATACCTCAATGGCATACCTGTAGATCTTTGAATAGACATGGGAGAAGAGAGATATGACCGAATATATACTTTTGGGAGAAAAATGAGCTGCCAGAAAAGAAAGTGGCAATCAAAGAAAGGACATTAGAAGAGAAGAGCAAGCAAGAAGTCTTTCATCAGTGGTAGAAAATTTGATTATTATGACTTCAACAACTACTTACTCCGAAAAGGAAATAGCAAAGACTGCCTGACAGCCATCCCCATCCATCCCACACCCCCACAAAGAGCAGCCTATAGTTTTCAAAGAAGAGTTTTCAAACTGCAATTACTTTATTCTAGAATTTTTTAAATTTATGTTGTCAGAACAAGGGAGCGCAATTCATTCTGTCAGGGATAGCCCTTGAGAAACCCTGATTTTATTGAACCTATTTAAACCGTATTGCAACGTTTCTGTTCTCAAAGGTGGGAGAATGTTCTTCAAGTCAGTTGAAAAGAATTCAAGAGGTCCAATAGTAGCCCATGATGATAGGCAGGTGGTAAGAGACATGACAAAAGCACGGCATGTTTTTGATGCCTTCCATGACAGTTTGATGGGGGTTCATACTGACACAACAAAAGCTTGTACTGCTATTGCTGCAAGATACTACTGCCCTGGTATTTGGCATGATACAAAAATGGGTTAGCTTGTGAAATGTGTTCTTTTGTCAATAAGAGGTTCCCTAGTTCCATTATTGAGATATTAAAATTCCATTACAAACCAAACATTATGCTTGGATTAAGTTTTCAGACACCGTGAAATCTTAGTTATTGAAAGTATTACACTGATCCCCAGACTTTTCTTACTACCAACATTAACTATTTTGCTGTTCTAAGCTTTACTTTGCTGATTAATACCCAAGATCCAAACTAGTCTCAATCTGAAAATTTTTCCAGGGCTTTCCAGTAATAATGTAATGAACCAAAATTGCTTTCTCTTGCCACTATAGAATTACAGCTTTGTTACTTTGAATTGTCTTTTGCATACATAACAAGGCTTTGTCTCATAAAGTCGAAGATGTAATGAATCTCTGGAATATCTTGAATTCTTTAGGATGCTTTAAAGTTCCAAACTTCTTGTCATTTAAAGGTCTTTGTCAAAATTTACTGTTTCTATTGATAAAAACTAAAGATCTACTGATACATCATTCTTTAAGCCAGTGGAAAATCTTTATGTTCTTAATTTTACAACAATTTATTGGTGTCTGTAAATATAAGAGATGTGGTCATTTGATTTCAGATTGAAACTTGTGATCAATGCCAAAAGTGATGAAAGAAGATCTGCAGCCAATCAAAGTGAGTCTTCTAATATTTAAAGTAAATCAATTTTTGTAATAAAGGTCTCCCTAACAATATAAATTTCTGAAAGGGCAGTTCACAAAAAGATAATTCATTACACCTAGCAGATATTCTCTCTTGCAATAAATGCTAATTAGAGCTCGAGGTGGTCGTAAAAAAACCCATTGTTCATGAATAAATTGAATTCATATTAAGAAATCCAGGTAAGATGACTAATTTTTTTCCCTGACCTTTCTTTTGCTCGAAAATATTCTCCTTGAAAATGTAGTTGTAAAAAACTTGCGCCTCTCTTTGACAGGCAAAATATCCATTTGCGATGATGGGAATTGATCTTTTTGGTCCATTAAAGAGAACTGCAGACAGAAACACATATATTTTTACGGCGACAGACTTTTTTACAAAGTTGACGGAAGCATTTCCAATTCCAAGCAAGAATGCCAAAGAAGTTGGTAAATGCATAATGAAATTGTTTTTCCACCATGGTGCTTGCCATGCTTTTTTGTTGGATAATGGAGGTGAATTTGTGAATGAGGTAAAGCTTCATTTCTACTTTTAAATAATAACAACAGTACAAAACACTATTACCGTGATATATTTCACCTTTCCTGAAATGTTTTTGCAACATGATTTCAACAGAATCTCAAGATTTGTATCTAAACTGGATTATCTTTAGTTAGAATTCAGTTTTTTTAAATTATACTTTCAATGTTTAGCTCTTTATTTTGATTTCAGATAAGCAAATTATTACCGAGCAAAGGTGATATACATGCTCACATGGATCGTTTCCAAGCTGCCAACGTTAAGCTGTATGAGAAGCTCTGCTCAAATGTTGCTGTCGCGCAAAGCAAGCAGAAAGAAGCAGACAGAAAAAAGATCCTCAGCAAACAGCCTGATTTGAAAGTCGGTTCGAAAGTCCTGGTTTCAAATATTGGAATCAAAAGCCAGAAAGGGAGAAAACTGGAACAGAGATACTCCAGTCCAGTGAGAATTTCCGAAATTCAAGGCAATAGATTCTTTCTTGTAGATATGGAGGGGAATGTATTGAAAAAACCAGTCCATAAAACCAGGCTCAAATTATACAAGGAGCAGAAAGGTAAAAGACTATTTACAAACTGATACTATGGGTATGATGTGTGCAAATGAGATTTGTTGCAAAATGAAATACTTTGGGTATGAAATACGGAATATGCAGGGAAGGAAAGAATACTTTTGGTATCATTGAAAAGCATGTCATTACAAAATAGCAAAAATGTCACAATATTGTATCGTCTTCTTTGATAGTATTTCAACAGCTTTCTGCATCAAAAGTAAAACTCTTGAACAAGAAGTTCATTGTAAGAATAATTTTTGGTTACTTATTCTACATAAATTTAAATTACCCTTGGATGAAAATAAAAGAGACTGAATTTTGTAAAAAATAGATGTATTTTCATTATTCTTCCAGGCAATGGAGCCTTCCCTTCTCCCATCGGAGCAAGGATAGTGAAAGATGAAGATGTTCGTTGTAAGAATAAATTTTGCTTACTTATTCTACATAAAACGGCAGGAAAATTTCGAGGGTGCGTTTTCGTCAATTTTTCCCGCCGTTTTCAAATTTTATTAGATCCCAGTCTTACCGCGTGAGTGTATTCGCCATTTTCATCACATAGAATTAGTAATAATGGTAAATTGTCTTTGGACAATCATGATTGAAATTACTTATGGCCATTGCTGAAAATTTTTCACTTTTATGAAATCAATTTTGATTCCAGAGGACAAAGATACATCTATTGATTTCGAGGGTGAATATGAAAGTCTTTGTGCCGTTATAATAATTACATTGGCGATCACCACGAATCTAAGGCTAGACAGGGAGTTCATCTTTGACGGGATTATGAACCATTCCTAGATTTAAAGAAAAGTAAATAATTGATTTTGTCTAAATGTGAAATTTCTAAAGCGTTTTGAGTTGGGAGAGGTAAAAACGTAATTTACCTTGAATCTCGACACGAAATTTAGCGATCATTTGCGAGGTGTTTTTTTATATTATTCTTTGCGATCGAACAGTGACCCCGATATAGGTTAAATAGCAATGCATGATGATGAACTGGACAAAAAATGAAGTGGAAGTTCGCTTTGTAGAGGCGTGCAATGTTTTTTGTAGACAATGTGGTAAAAACACGCTGAAATGGCGAAAATAGGCCTAATTCTAGCTGCGAAGCGATTTTGTTGTGAAAATCCTGTGTGCTGATTGGCTTAGAACATGGTAGCGAACTGAGCTCTGAGCCAATCAAAGATTTGACCGCTATGCTGTATACGCCTAGCACTGAGGTTTCCAAAATTCCTATACAATGGTTTTTGTAGAATTCAATTATATACTGGTAGAATCAACCAGTGTGTCTATCTTAATAACAGAAATGCAGCGTGTGACCCTTTTGCACAATGAATTTTTTCAGCCATAAGTTTTAGTGGGACTTCGCCAATCTTTGCATCTTCTTAGAACTTGTTTCTTGTTGATCGCTACATTACAAGGTAGTTACCATAATAAAATGATGCTCGTCTTACAGCAACTTCATAATCAACATTAATTTAATACCTAAATGGCATACCTGTAGATCTTTGAATAGACATGGGAGAAGAGAGATATGACCGAATATATACTTTTGGGAGAAAAATGAGCTGCCAGAAAAGAAAGTTGCAATCAAAGAAAGGGCATTAGAAGAGAAGAGCAAGCAAGAAGTCTTTCATCAGTGGTAGAAAATTTGATTATTATGACTTCAACAACTACTTACTCCGAAAAGGAAATAGCAAAGACTGCCTGACAGCCATCCCCATCCATCCCACACCCCCACAAAGAGCAGCCTATAGTTTTCAAAGAAGAGTTTTCAAACTGCAATTTCTTTATTCTAGAATTTTTTAAATTTATGTTGTCAGAACAAGGGAGCGCAATCAAATCATTCTGTCAGGGATAGCCCTTGAGAAACCCTGATTTTATTGAAACTATTTAAACCGTATTGCAACGTTTCTGTTCTCAAAGGTGGGAGAATGTTCTTCAAGTCAGTTGAAAAGAATTCAAGAGGTCCAATAGTAGCCCATGATGATAGGCAGGTGGTAAGAGACATGACAAAAGCACGGCATGTTTTTGATGCCTTCCATGACAGTTTGATGGGGGTTCATACTGACACAACAAAAACTTGTACTGCTATTGCTGCAAGATACTACTGCCCTGGTATTTGGCATGATACAAAAATGGGTTAGCTTATGAAATGTGTTCTTTTGTCAATAAGAGGTTCCCTAGTTCCATTATTGAGATATTAAAATTCCATTACAAACCAAACATTATGCTTGGATTAAGTTTTCAGACACCGTGAAATCTTAGTTATTGAAAGTATTACACTGATCCCCAGACTTTTCTTACTACCAACATTAACTATTTTGCTGTTCTAAGCTTTACTTTGCTGATTAATACCCAAGATCCAAACTAGTCTCAATCTGAAAATTTTTCCAGGGCTTTCCAGTAATAATGTTTTGACCCAAGATAGCTTTCTCTTGCCACTATGGAATTACAGCTTTGTTACTTTGAAATTGTCTTTTGTTTACATAACAAGGCTTTGTTAGCTTCATTTGTCTCATAATGTCAAAGATGTAATGAATCTCTGGAATATCTTGAATTCTTTAGGATGCTTTAAAGTTGCAAACTTCTTGTCATTTAAAGGTCTTTGTCAAAATTTACTGTTTCTATTGATAAAAACTAAAGATCTACTGATACATCATTCTTTAAGCCAGTGGAAAATCTATATGTTCTTAATTTTACAACAATTTATTGGTGTCTGTAAATATAGGTGATGTGGTCATTTGATTTCAGATTGAAACTTGTGATGAATGCCAAAAGTGATGAAAGAAGATCTGCAGCCAATCAAAGTGACTCTTCTAATATTTAAAGTAAATCAATTTTTGCAATTAAGGTCTGTAAATTTTTGAAAGGACAGTTCACAAAAAGATCATTCATTACATCTAGCAAATATTCTCTCTTGCAATAAATGCTAAATATACCTCAAGGTGGTCGTAAAAGAACCCATTGTTCATGAATAACTAGAATCAGGGTAAGATGACTAATTTTTTTCCCTGACCTTTCTTTTGCTCGAAAATATTCTCCCTGAAAATGTAGTTGTTAAAAACTTGCGCCTCTCTTCGAGAGACAACATATCCATTTGCAATGATATGAATTGATCTTTTTGGTTCATTAAAGAAAACTGCAGACAGAAATACATATATTTTTACAGCGACAGACTTTTTTACAAAGTTGATGGAAGCATTTCCAATTCCAAGCAAGAATGCAAAAGAAATTGCAAAATGCATAATGAAATTGTTTTTCCACCACAGTGCTTGTCATGCTTTTTTGTTGGATAACGGAGGTGAATTTGTGAACGAGGTAAAGCTTTTAAGTAACGAGAAATGTTTCAAATATCCATTAATTCGTTAAGTGATCAAAATTTTTGCAGTCTGTCATAAAGTAATCAATACCGTATAAGCCCAAATGAACACGCTTTTGGTGTAGAAGAACCAGATGATTCTAAGTTGCTACTCCAAATATCACGCTCAATGCGACCTTCAGGCAACTCTTAGTTGGAAAGTATATTAGGTTGAAGAGAAGGAAGATTAATTTAATATAATAATATGATGCTTGTACAAGAAATAAAGGATTTCCTATGTCAGCTGGCAGGCATTTATATAAATAATATGCGATTTAAGCAAAACTTTGGATGATAAATTGGCATACGAACTAAGTTAAGAAAAAAATACCTTCAGGCAGCTCACTTTTTAGCTAATGCATGAAAACCAAAATCTCTTTTCTACATCTTTAATTTTAGCTAGAAGGGCAAAACGTCTTTTCTCTTGATAGGGGAATCCTTGTCAACAGATTTTCTTTGACAGAAGCATTTCCAATTCCAAGCAAGAATGCCAAAGAAGTTGCTAAATGCATAATGAAATTATTTTTCCACGGTGCTTGCCATGCTTTTTTGTTGGATAACGAAGGTGAATTTGTGAATGAGGTAAAGCTTCATTTCTACTTTTAAATAATAACAACAGTACAAAACACTATTACCGTGATATATTTCACCTTTCCTTAAATGTTTTTGCAACATGATTTCAACAGAATCTCAAGATTTGTATCTAAACTGGATTATCTTTAGTTAGAATTCAGTTATTTTAAATTATACTTTCAATGTTAAGCTCTTTATTTTGATTTCAGATAAGCAAATTATTACCGAGCAAAGGTGATATAGATGCTCACATGGATCGTTTCCAAGCTGCCAACGTTAAGCTGTATGAGAAGCTCTGCTCAAATGTTGCTGTCGTGCAAAGCAAGCAGAAAGAAGCAAAAAGAAAAAAGATCCTCAGCAAACAGCCTGATTTGAAAGTCGGTTCCAAAGTCCTGGTTTCAAATATTGGAATCAAAAGCCAGAAAAGGAGAAAACTGGAACAGAGATACTCCGGTCCAGTGAGAATTTCCGAAATTCAAGGCAATAGATTCTTTCTTGCAGATATGGAGGGGAATGTATTGAAAAAACCAGTCCATAAAACCAGGCTCAAATTATACAAGGAGCAGAAAGGTAAAAGACTATTTACAAACTGATACTATGGGTATGATGTGTGCAAATGAGATTTGTTGCAAAATGAAATACTTTGGGTATGAAATACGGAATATGCAGGGAAGGAAAGAATACTTTTGGTATCATTGAAAAGCATGTCATTACAAAATAGCAAAAATGTCACAATATTGTATCGTCTTCTTTGATAGTATTTCAACAGCTTTCTGCATCAAAAGTAAAACTCTTGAACAAGAAGTTCATTGTAAGAATAATTTTTGGTTACTTATTCTACATAAATTTAAATTACCCTTGGATGAAAATAAAAGAGACTGAATTTTGTAAAAAAATAGATGTATTTTCATTATTTCTTCCAGGCAATGGAGCCTTCCCTTCTCCCATCGGAGCAAGGATAGTGAAAGATGAAGATGTTCGTTGTAAGAATAAGTTTTGCTTACTTATTCTACATAAAACGGCAGGAAAATTTCGAAGGTGCGTTTTCGTCAATTTTTCCCGCCTTTTTAAAGTCTTACCGCGTGAGTGTATTTGCCATTTTCATCACATAGAATTAGTAATAATGGACAATTGTCTTTGGACAATCATGATTGAAATTACTTTGGGCTATTGCTGAAAATTTTTCACTTTTATGAAATCAATTATGATTCCAGAGGACAAAGATATATTTATTGATTTCGAGGGTGAATATGAAAGCCTTCGTGCCGTTGTAATAATTACATTGGCGGTCACCGCGAATCTAAGGCTGGACAGTGAGTGCATCTTTGACGGGATTATGAACCATTCCTAGATTTAAAGAAAAGTAAATAACTGATTTTGTCTAAATGTGAAATTTCTAAAGCGTTTTGGGTTGGGAGAGGTAAAAACGTAATTTACCTTGAATCTCGACACGAAATTTAGCGATCATTTGCGAGGTGTTTTTTTATATTATTCTTTGCGATCGAACAGTGACCCCAATATTCTATTGATAAAAACTAAAGGTCTACTGAAACATTATTCTCTAAGCCAGCGGAAAATCTATATGTTCTTAATTTTACAACAATTTATTGGTGTCTGTAAATATAGGTGATGTGGTCATTTGATTTCAGATTGAAACTTGTGATAAATGCCAAAAGTGATGAAAGAAGATCTGCAGCCAATCAAAGTGAGTCTTCCAATATTTAAATTAAATCGATTTTTGCAATAAAGGTCTCCCTAACAATATAAATTTTTGAAAGGGCAGTTCACAAAAAGATCATTCATTACATCTAGCAGATATTCTCTCTTGCTATAAATGCTAATTAGAGCTCGAGGTGGTCGTAAAAAACCCATTGTTCATGAATAAATTGAATTCATGTTAAGAAATCCAGGTAAGATGACTAATTTTTTTCCCTGACCTTTCTTTTGCTCGAAAATATTTTTCTTGAAAATGTAGTTGTAAAAAACTTGCGCCTATCTTTGACGGGCAACATATCCATTTGCGATGATGGGAATTGATCTTTTTGGTCCATTAGAGAGAACTGCAGATGGAAACACATATATTTTGACGGCGACAGACTTTTTTACAAAGTTGACGGAAGCCTTTCCAATTCCAAGCAAGAATGCCAAAGAAGTTGCTAAATGCATAATGAAATTGTTCTCCACCACGGTGCTTGCTATGCTTTTTTGTTGGATAACGGAGGTGAATTTGTGAATGAGGTAAAGCTTTTTAGTAACGAGAAATGTTTCAAATATTCATTAATTCGTTAAGTGATGAAAATTTTTGCAGTCTTTCATGAAGTAATTGATACCGTATCAGCCAAACTGAACACGTTTTTGGTGTAGAAGAACCAGATGATTCTAAGTTGCTACTCCAAATATCACGCTCAATGCGACCTTCAGGCAACTCTTAGTTGGAAAGTATATTAGGTTGAAGGGAAGGAAGATTAATTAAATATGATAATTTGATGCTTGTACAAGAAATAAAGGATTTCCTTTGTCAGCTGGCAGGCATTTATATAAATAATATGTTATTTAAGCAAAACTTTGGATGATAAATTGGCATGCGAACTGAGTTAAGAAAAAAAATACCTTCAGGCAGCTCACTTTTTAGCTAATGCAGGAAAACCAAATTCTCTTTTCTACATCTTTAATCTTAGCTAGAAGAGGCAAAACGTCTTTTCTCTTGATAGAGGAATCTTGTGAACAGATTTTCTGGTTACTTGTTCATTTGTCATTTTGTATACTGCAATATCTTATTGTTAATCAAAACCGTTATTTTACAGGCGATTACATACCTTTCTGAATGGGCACCCAGAGAAGTGGGACGAGTTCTTAGATGCTGCCCTTTGGTCAATGCGCTTGAAGCAACAGGCCATGACAAAGTTTTTGCCATTGAAAGTGCTTTATGGTCGGGAGCCCAGATTTCCCATAGAACTTGAAGATTTGCCGGAAACTTTAGAGGTAGTCAAGTGTCTCAACGCGATTAAAACTGATTATAAATTCCGATGGTCATTACTTAGTATTTTCATTTACCTAACAATAATGTTCAAATGTAGACTTGAACGTACTTCATTTCTACTTTTAAATAATAACGACAGTACAAAACACTATTACTGTAATATATTTCACCTTTCCTTGAATGTTTTTGCAACATGATTTAAACGAGTCTCAAGATTTGTATCTAAACTGGATTATCTTTAGTTAGAATTCAGTTATTTTAAATTATACTTTCAATGTTAAGCTCTTTATTTTGATTTCAGATAAGCAAATTATTACCGAGCAAAGGTGATATAGATGCTCACATGGATCGTTTCCAAGCTGCCAACGTTAAGCTGTATGAGAAGCTCTGCTCAAATGTTGCTGTCGTGCAAAGCAAGCAGAAAGAAGCAAAAAGAAAAAAGATCCTCAGCAAACAGCCTGATTTGAAAGTCGGTTCCAAAGTCCTGGTTTCAAATATTGGAATCAAAAGCCAGGAAGGGAGAAAACTGGAACAGAGATACTCCGGTCCAGTGAGAATTTCCGAAATTCAAGGCAATAGATTCTTTCTTGCAGATATGGAGGGGAATGTATTGAAAAAACCAGTCCATAAAACCAGGCTCAAATTATACAAGGAGCAGAAAGGTAAAAGACTATTTACAAACTGATACTATGGGTATGATGTGTGCAAATGAGATGTGTTGCAAAATGAAATACTTTGGGTATGAAATACTGAATATGCAGGGAAGGAAAGAATACTTTTGGTATCATTGAAAAGCATGTCATTACAAAATAGCAAAAATGTCACAATATTGTATCATCATCTTTGATAGTATTTCAACAGCTTTCTGCATCAAAAATAAGACTCTTGAACAAGAAGTTCGTTGTAAGAATAATTTTTTGTTACTTATTCTACATTAATATAAATTTAAATTACCCTTGGACAAAAATGAAAGAGACTGAATTTTGAACAGTTTTTTTGCGGTACAGAATTTGAAAATGGCTTTGAAAAAAGCAAACATTTTACAACATACTTAAAGCTTTTTCGTCTGACACTCCTCAGAGCATAAAACGTCAGAATAGGTTCCGAAAAACACGATGGAAAAATATATACCCAGTTGTGGATCAAAATAGGCCAATCAGAAAAACGCAAGCACAAGACCGGTATAGTTGACCAATCAGTGCCGCGAGCCTAAAGAAAAATTACCAATGGAGTCCAAGAGAGAAAACGAACTCCTTTTGTCTACACAATGGCGGCTTTTTCGTTTTTATGTAGATTGACTCCAAAACTGCTAGATGGAAAGACGACCGGGCTCTGCCAATTATCCGAAACATGTCGTCATTATAGAGTTTTGCACAATCTGGGTTGTCCAAAAGATGTTGACCAATGGCAGAATCACTTGTTTTAACAGTGTTTCTCGACCTACAAGATCGAGGAGGCTGTTCTCTTTGAGGGGCAGTTTTGTTTCGTATGTTGGAAGGAACATGCTGTTTTATCCTATCCCCCAATCTTTGGGTTGTGCGCCCTACGTAGCCAGAATCACACTGGCACGTAAATTCATAAATGACGGAACTTTTTTGGTTGGTAGGGACGCAATCCTTTTGAATGGATGGAAGGGCTCTCCTAGTGCTGTAAACAATCCGAGGATTGACAGCAAAGAAACAATTGGTTATGGCTTGCCTAATCTGACTCTCGAATCGCAAGGAAGTGTTACCAATCCATGGTAGTTTCAAATAAACTGGGCACTTTTGCGGACCAAACTTTTGAACAGCCGAAAAACTTGCGATCTTCTCCTTAGTATAAGATAAAATGACGTCTTCAGGATAGCCGTTGTCCAAGAAGATCGTTTTGAGTTTTTCCAGTTCAGCGTGCAGTTTAGATTTCGAGCAGATCATAAGTGCCCTATGTACTAATGTTTTGACAAGGTTGACTTTGCGTTGTTTTGGCAAAATGAATTCCAGCGTATGTACTGACCGGTAAAAGTAGGCTTGCGATATACACTGGTAAGAAATCCAGTGTTAGACTTTTCGACCAAAACATCTAAAAATGGTAAGGAATCATTTTCTTCCTTTTCAAACGTAAACTGGAGGGCTGGGTGTAGGCTATTTAGGTGTTTTAGGAAAATATCACACTCAGCCTCTGTTTTGAAAATGGTATATGTGTCATCCACATACCGAAAATAGACACCTGGCTTTTGGTCGTAGTCGAACAAACGCTCTTCATGAAAGCCAACAAAGATATTG